CAAACCACTGGCTTCAAAATGGTCAGAGATATCATGAAGAGTCAAATCCTCACATTGGCATCAGAGACTGAGGGTTCTCAGCCCTTTGGCTCAGGAAAGCCTACCTTGACACTCATCAGATACCTGTACTTCCTGAGCTAGGCATACACTACATTTTCCACTGAAGAGGCAATAACAAGCCCAAACTGAGTAAGTGTATCTGAGTGAAGCTGCTACTAGAATTATACATGTCCATCTGCCTGGTGGACTCTTAACTAAGCCAGCTCATACTGTTCCTGTCTTTAGAGAGTTGAAAAAACAATCCATTACTCTATACAGTGATCCCAAATAAGGTGCTTTTTAAGTTTCTCCTAGGATACAATGCCTCAACTATGGCCCTTTAAAGACAAAATGAAGCAAGAAAACAAAAACAGAAGTTTAACTTGCTACAACTTCAAACTTGTCAAAACTCCATAACAATACAAAGAATTTCCATGAATCTACTATGAAAACACTTACGGGCTGGAGAGATGGCTCAGAGGTTAAGAGCACTGGTCTGCTCTTCCAGAGGACCCGGGTTCAATTCCCAGCACCCATATGGCAGCTCACAACTGTCTGTAACTCTGGTTTCAGGGGATCTGACACCTTCTATACCAATGCAAATAAAATAAAGTTAATAAATAGTTAAAAAAAGAAAATGCTTATATTTAGCTCATTTGCTGTGGAATTCTCCTCTGCTCTTACATATGTGCACGTCTTTCCTGAACCAGCTGAAAACACTGCTCTCTACTCCAAAGACTTTCCACAGGCATTCTCTTCCATAATCACATGACAAAACATCCTTACCATATCTAGACTTCTTGACCAAACTGTGTCATCTGTCCAATGTTCTGTAGTGACTTTATACCACTCTAAAATCCAGCTCAAGATCATACACGGCATTAGAACTTGTGTAACATATATGCAGAAGCTTCTGCCTTCCTTTTCTTGTTCCCGACATGTCTGAAGGATACAGTCCCAGTGTGGGCTAATCCTCAACATGGGATGTTTTGTCATGATCAGAGGAAAGTAATAAACTCCTGGAGCAAATACCAACAGATGATGGTATCTTCTTAGACAGTATGGATTAGTTAGTTTTCCCAACACTAGAGTTAATTTTGATGTCATTAATTTAGAGCCATTAAAGTATTGATTGCCAAGTTTCTCCACTCTAGTTACTATGTTTTTCCTTGTCATCAACTGGCAAACCATGAAGAAATGAACTGAGATTATGCAAAAATATCCTGCTTCTCACTCAACTGTCACCCACTCACTTTAGTGTGGAGTGCTGATTTTATAACTCCCTTTCCTCCTCTGTGTCAGTATTATTCCACAAGGGAGAGCTTTGCCTCTGCCCCCATTACACTTTCTTCTTTATACCACAACAAGATGTTCCAGTTCCATCTTGTACTTTTCTCAACTTTATTTGGATACAGTTACACGATGATCACTAGCTGCCAGGGATGGCACTAAGCATTTTACAGACATCATTTTACTTAAGTCAAACAACTCTAGGAAAAGTGGGATAGCAAAGGGTTGGGGAGATCAAGGGATTGCATCTGGCACTCTCAGCTTGGAAATGCTGAAACAGTTTTCAAACTGTTTAAATAGGAAATGCATGTTTATAGAGGAGTGAGGGAATCATTTCGCTCAGTTACAGCACAGGTAGCAGATCAGAACAGTAGGAGACTGAGTGTGAGAGGAGACAGGCTGGAGATGTTAGCCTGAAAGTCTGACTATGGAGTTCAGTATGTCATAGTTAATCTTGATTGTCAGTCCAATTGGATTGAGAGATGCCTAGATTACATTAAAGCACACCTCGGGTCTGTCTATGCAGGTATTTCCAACATGCACTAGATCATGAGGAATCTAACTACTAATAGTTAAACAATCCACTGATGAATTTAAAATCTGAATAAACTATTGGAAGGTGGTGCAAGGTGAGGCCTGGTTGTAGGAAATGTATCGCTGTGGTCATGTCTGTTACTGTTACCCTTCCTGTTACTTTTCTCTGCTTCCTGAATACTAGAGGTGAGGAGCATTTTTATACCACGCCCTTCCACCATGATGTGAAGCCTCACTACAGACATGGATGAAATGGAGTTAGAAATAACAGACTGGAACTAGGAGCCAAAACAAACTTGCCCTCCTTTTAAAATCAGTTGTCTGAGAGACAAAAAACAAAATCTAACTATTATGTATAAGACCGTTCCGAGTTAATGAAAGTGGGTGGGCTACTTTAAGCAATGGAGTGACCCAAAGGTGACCATCTGGCAAGAAGACTTTTAAAAAGTAAATAAGAGGGGTAAACTGGGAAAGATAAAGGAAAGTAACAGAATAGACAATGCAGTTGTTTTTCACAATCTGCTGCCTCTCCTGATACAACAATGTAACACAAGAGCTAAACACATAGATGCCAGCCATTTGGCTCAAGACACCTTATCTCTACTACAACAATGGATACGCCATCCCTTGTAGGGCTGCTAGCAAAGACTTACAAGCTGATATGTGAAAAATACCCAGCGTGGTACGTGGTGGCAAGCAAATACTCAAACATCTAAAAGTGACTATGAAAATATTTGTCACATTCTTATCAAACCTGTCTCCTTTGTGACTCTGGGAAAAGAAATCTAAGATTTTCTGGCCTACAGACAACCTATATTTGTACTGATGTTCTCATTCTTAGCATAGAGTAAGAAAGTATTGACATAAATGTCTTCAAGATACATTTTATGAAGTTGGTCAGGTATTATTTGGTAGGTCAGAGTCCTAAAACTGGATTGCTGAGTCACAATATATTTACATATTGAATTTGGTAAATACTGCAGAAGCTGGGGTTGGTAAGATGGCTCAGTAGCTAAGAGGACAAACTGTTCTTGCAGAGGAGCCAAGTTCAGTTTCCAGTTCCCACACCAGGCATCTGAGGGTTATCAACCACCTAAAAAAGCCAGCTCTAGAGGGTCCAAATCCCACATCCGTACTTTTTGGGCACTGCATCCACATGCACAAACCCACACACATATTCACATAATTAAAAACAAAATCATTGATTCTTAAAGGTAGAAGCCATTTATATTCAACATCAACAGTGTGTCCTATAAAAAAGCTGTAACTCTTATTATTATCAGTCTTAATTCCTTCTCCTATTGCCTTGATGAACTACTTTGGCAAAAGCTACTTTAGGAAGACAGGGTTTATTCTGGTTCATAGCTCAAAGGTACAGTCCATAGTAGGGAAGTCAAGGTGTAGGAACCTGAAGTACCTGGTTACAACACATCCAGTCAGGAAGCAGGGAAGGAAAAATACACACTGCTGCTCAACTCTAGTTGTGCATTTACATAGTTTTGGATCCCATCATGGAATGGTGCTACCCTCAGTGGATGTGTCGTCCCTTGCCAACATAAGTAATGTAATTCCCCATAGGCATGTCTGGAGGCCCATCTTCCAAGGAGATTCTGTCAAGTTGACAATTTACACTAACCACTACAATCAATATCCTATTCACTGTCAATCTATGAAGCAGTCCCAAGATACAAATAATTTTAAAGTAATGAAGAGAGTAGAAGAAAATCTGAATCTGTAGCAACTAGATCTGCCATTGCAGACAGAGAGAAGACAGTGATGAAGCTTTATGTGTGACAGATTCTGTGGAGACTCCTAGGAGAGAAGGCATCAAGAGTCTCACCCAAAGACAAACTCTGTGAGCCACAACAGCAATCAGCCAGCGTGGCTGCTGCAACATTGGCATGAATGCTATGGGGGCAACACACCACCCTCAGGTTGAATTTAAGGCCTGTTCCACAAAATGGAACTCTTGTCTAATACTGTAAACCCGGTCACAAACCCATAGTTCCAAGGGGGAGAACCTATGATTATTATTTTGCTAAACAGACATAATACCATAATACCCATGGATAGTGCAGCCCTTAGCCAAGGAGGCTCTTTTGTAGTGGACGGCAGTTAAATATTAAGACTCACAATTGGGTCGGGTGGTGGCGCACACCTTTAATCCCAGTACTCGGGAGGCAGAGGCAGGCAGATCTCTGTGAGTTCGAGGCCAGGCTGGACCGACAGCCTCCAAAACAATACAGAGAAACCCTGTCTCGTAAAAACAAAAAAAAAAAAAAAAAAAAAAAGACTCACAATTGGTTAAAGTGCAGAGAAAGTGACTATGTAGCACTCAGTTGTTAAAAGGACATGTATATCACATACACTTCCCCCTCCAAGATTAAGGGAACATAATGAAGAATGGGCAGAAAGAATTTAAGAGCCATACTGGGGAAGCTAATGCAAAGCAAGGTCTTTTGAGCATGACACACATGCCTTATGCACTCATGAACTCACCACAACTGTGACTACCCATGCAAGATGAGGATCATCAAAACTTCTTCACAAAAGGTGTTAGACCTTATGAGACCACACCCCTCCCTAAAGGACTACTGAGTTAATGGTGCATGGGGGGAAAGGAGCGCCACTCTCCTGGGTGACATAAAGCTCCCTAGTAAATAACCTTCTAACCAGGCTCGTGCTAAAGCCCTATTTAAATTCAAGGGGTCACATACATTAAAAGACATGAAAGTAAGGAGGAGGCTTACTGGGAAGAAGAAAGGTTCCAGTGGAAGAAGCTGGGGACAATAAGGAAGGTAGTATGGGGAGGTGAGAATGACTAAAATTTATTATATATGTGTATGAAACTGTCAAATAAAAAAAACCTTAAAACAAATAAGCAACCATAGTCTACAGGGTTATTCTGAAGAACAGATAACATACATCAAACTCTTCAAGTGTGTAGTAAACAGAGAACGGCCACTGCAAATAATCACTTGCTATGAATAAATAGTATTTTCATTAGGTTAAAATGACACTTGTTCTAAATCAAAATTTTGTCTTTTAAGCATAGACTATTTATCCATTGGTACATTTCAAAATAAAAAATCAGATTCAGCTATACTGTAACATCTTTTCCTCCTGGCATTCTTTTTAAAAATATGGAACGCTTCACAAATTTGTGTGTCATCCTTGTACAGGGGCCATGCTAATCTTCTCTGTATCGTTCCAATTTTAGCATATGTGCTGCCAAAGCAAGCACTCTCCTGGCACTCTTAACATCTCTAGCAAGAAGCCCTTATATTAGAGCAAAGGAGCAAAGGAGCTAACTCCCTCTGTTGAGACGGAGCAGACATTTTCCTTTTGGTAGAGCACACTTACAGGTTTTCACAGCTTTGGACACACCATCTAATCTTGAATCCAGAAATCTCCCCATTATTCTTAAGTTCCTTTGCTCTTATCAGCAAGTGGAGAAATGCCACGGGTTTAAGTACTGCGGAGAACTCCAGAACTGCCTCCACTGAGGCTTCTCACTGCAGATGCAGCAGAAGAACCACAGGTGGAGCCAGAGAGCTGCTTCTGGGATTCTGGCTCACAGCTCTACAAGCCTTCTGTGGGAGGTGAGCAGCAGAGCTGACAACAGGCCAACTGCAACCCCCTGCTTTCAAGGAAAGTCTCCCTTCTCCTTTCACTCTCCAGTCACACACACTACCCTTTCTGTTTCAAGTGTCGTGTGCCCCCGCTTCATACAGTGACACCTTACATTATCACAGCTCATCACAGCCACCGCAGAAGGGCTTCTTCTCAGTCTTGAGAGTTAGACAGGTAGCAGTTCCTGTCTGCTCTGCCACATTAGTGACTACAATGCACAATGAACCATTGTTACCATCTCATCAAGCATCAGCACCTTTGCAGCTTCTGAGATCAAACTAACCCTCAAGAGTGAACTTTAATGTCTTAAACAACTAACTCCCACTGAAGTAACACATGAGGACAGAACTGTCTACAAGACTGACGGAGAATTCGTTAAGAATGTTCCCTGGCAGCAGCTTCTAAATACACTTGTAATTTGCTTCTTCAATGTCTGATGAATCCCGCTGATTAACTTGACTGATTATTAAAGCCAAAGATCCGCTGGTGTCTTGAAAAAAAAGTCACCATTTTCAGAGACTACTAAAAAAGAAACTGTTTTGTACTGACTATTTCCCACACAAAATTCCAACTTTTGTTGAAATAATATGAGCTCTAAAAAAGAGAGAATAGATGAAAATGTTTTTATATTTCTTATATCAACACAGGTAGACAGAAAGTTATAAAAGAGAAAGTTGTCCGTGTTATAGGATTTGGGAAAGCTGCAAGAAATATAAAGGGGAAAATTCCATCGTGTGTGTGTGTGTGTGTGTGTGTGTGTGTGATATGTCATACAGTTAAGATAAAACAAAAGAGTCTAAAGAGCTATTAATGCTATAGAGAAAGATTTTAAACTCAAATGTGATTTAACTGACTGGAGAGATGACTCAGTAAATGCCTTGTTATTATGTGAAGACTTGAGTTTAATCCCCAGAACCCACATAAAAACCAGATATGGAAGCACACACCTGTGATCCTAGAGCTGGGGAAGCCAAGACAATAGCAACCCTATGGGGCCTTTTGAATCCCCAGTTCAGTCTAACTGATGAGATCCAGGTTCAGTGAAAGATCCTGTCTCAAAGATAAGGTGGAGATAGATTATGGATGATACCTACTGTCAACAACCTCTGGCTTCCACGTGTGCGCAAGTGAATGCATGTGTAACATACATACTCATGCACACACTTTCAAGAAATGGGTTTAGAGCAAGGGTCATCAAGTAATAACTCAGAGAGCAGATCTAGTCCACTCCCAATTCTATATTTTATTGGAACTGTACTATGCCTTTTTGTTTACTACAATCTATGGTCAACGAGCCTGAAAACCCTGCAAAGCTTAAAATAGTTACCATCTGGTCTTTTACTGGTCAGAAAAAGTACTGCCTACTGATTTAGAGAATAGGAGATAGAATATAAACAAATGAGAGATAATTATAATTAAAGCTTATTGTGGGAAGCAATCATACATGCTCAGTTCTGTTAGAAATGCTAGTCTATTCCATAACTGGCTACTAAAAACAAATGTCACAGATAGCATCTGGTGAGATACTACTATCATTATAATTATCTTATTTGGAGAAGCCTGTGCCAGCCAAGCAAAATTTATTCCCTTGGAGTAAGCCCTGTCAAGCATTCTGCAATGAGCATGATTTGATGTTAGCCTAGATTTGAATCTCTAAAACATCCTGAAAAGCAGCAGCGAAGGCTATGAATCTCTTTGACTTAAATGTGCAGGAAAATAAGAGATACAGAAGTCACAGAAACCAAACAATATGTCCTAGGGTAGGCTGAGAAGGAACAAGACAGTAAGGTCTCAAGGTATAAAATTACAGAAAAAAAAAGTAGAGCCCTTCAGCTATAAGATACAGTGGGTGGGGTTTACAATAATACAGGCAGAAAGAAAATGTTCAAACACTCTTGAAGATCTCAGATGCAGAGCTCTACAGGCAAAGACAGGTCACCTTCTTGAACATGACTAACCAGTGTCATCAAAATGTCAGTTTGCACAAAGTTAATTTTTTAATTTAAAGAAATCCCAGTAAAACCCATTAACAAGACAATTTGATTATCAAGCTCATGTTGAAAAATAACAGGAAACAGCCCTCCATAAAGTTCGGGTATCAGCAATAAAAACCAAGGGTTGTTGGAGAACTGGCATTACTGCATACTAGAATACACTGTAATGCCCACATAAAGGCATTCCAGTAAGTGCTCTGGCATTATTCATTAAGTCAAACAGAAGAGAAGGTCAAGAAATATATCCAAACACGTATGAGACAATCATAGATGAAAAAGGCTGCACCTCAAGTCAGTGTTAAGAATGAGCTTTTCTCTCAATAATATGGGAAAACTGAGTAACCATCTAAAAAGCTGGATCCTTATTTCTTATCATATTCAAACAAAAACTCTACTTGGATGAAAGTTTTCCAAACAAAAGCAAGAAGCATGCAAATACTAATGAAAAGCCAGCAAATTCCTTTATAAACTTAATAGAACAGAAAGTCTTTCAATTATGACTCAAAATTGAGGCCATAAAATTTAGAAATAAATTCTACTACATATAAAATTCAATTTGTTTCATAAAAGCATTGTTAACAAAGTGAAAAAGTGAAAAATGAAGAAATACTTATCACAAACATCTAATCTTTCTAGAAGATTCTAGAAACTGAGAAGAAAGAAATGAGCAAAGATTACAAATACGTAATTCTCAGAATATTCAAACTCAGAACATATTATATGACTTTTCAAGAATATAAAAAGATGTCAGACTCAGGAGAAAAAATAAAAAGAAAGTTAACCCTACAATGACACACCGTTCCTTGTTTAAAAGATGCACAAATATCCAGAAATTTGGAGATACACTCTGCATAGGACCACACACACATACACATGCAATGGAAGGGTACTTGACACAATCACAGAGATTCTGCCTAAATGATTGTTTTATGAGGCTTGAAAAAAAACACATGTGTAAGTTAAACCCTGAAGGATCAACATAAGACAAAAAAATAATTACAAACAACTTAAGGATCCAGTCATGGGGAACTACACAATAACACAATGGAGTGGAATGGAGTACTATGCAGAAATTTAAAAGACCAAGGAAAATCCTTATGAATTGATATGAAGTTTACATAGCTTGTTTTGTTATATTAACCATGTTTTAGTGTGCTAAAATCACAGAATTTCAACATACCACACAGGACATATTTACTTTTAAGGAAAAAAAAGATAATAGTGAAAGACTCATACAGTCATCTACTAATCCAATTTTAGCATTCTGAAGCAGTAACAACCAGGTAACATGCTTCTCCTAATGCTTTACAATATGAAATATTGTTACTGTATAGTCCAGCCCCAAATGTCTAACTTCAATATATTTAGCCTTTATATCGAACTTCCCAAACACTGAAATTCAGTAAGAAGTAAAAATAATCTAAAAGACAGAGGCAAGGAAGATTTCCTGAACTGGACAAACGGCTTGTAATTTGTTATGTCTGAACACAGACTATGCAGTTCCCTCTCGGCAGGATATAAATCTAGGCTGATCATGTGTTGACAGGAAGATTGCTTGGTTCCTGGCTGAGCTGTACAGCCTCCACCACTCACTCTCAGCGCCTTCCTGCGCTGCTCTCAAGAGGCAAGTGTGAAGCTGACTTGCAGTACTAAGGGATGGGAAGTCACACTGGAGAGAAAACAAGGCGGCCCAGCCAACAAGAGCACCCATTGTCAAACAAGAAACCCTATCTACCACGGATCTTCTGACACGGGTAGCTCTCCTACTACACAGCATGTATGTGACAACAGCCTAAAGCAGTAGAGAAATGCCCTTCCCAGCTCCCCAGAGTCTTCAGAAAATAAATCACTGTTTAGCTACTCCATTCTAGGTGGTTTGTTTGACAGCTATAGATAAATTCAACAACTGAGTATTGAGTAAAATGAAAACATATTAGTTAGGAAATGTCTTACTCACTGTTCTAGTGCTGTCATAACCAAGGCAACTTTTATAAAAGAAAGCATTTAATTGGGGGCTTGCTTACAGTCTCACAGGTTTAGTCCATTATCATCACAGCAGGGAGTACGGAAACCACACAAGTAGGCACTGGAGCCATAACTGACAGTGCTACATCCTGATCCGGAGAGAGAAAGAGAGACAGAGAGACAGAGAATGGGCCTAACTCTTGGCTTCCTCAGCTGTCCCCTGTCAGCCCAAACCTGCACACTCTTGAGAACTAAAGAACAAATCAGAGCCCTCACGGCCATCAAGGACCTTGCATTTCATGGATACACACTGAATAATTGTGGAGTATGGAACAGAGGTATACAAATGTCTTCATACTCCAAAGCAAAATGACAACAGAAATAGAAATACCACCAACAAAGAGAAGAATGAGAGGCCACACAACATCTTCTAAGTCCAGACCTAAGGAAAACGTTCTCATAGAAAGTATGATGACAATGGACACTTACCTAAGATGAGATGAAGTTTGGTCTCTGTCTGGAAAGCATAGTGCAATGTCACCAAAAATGGCGACTGTCTAATGTGCTCCAGAACTTGTCGTTCTGTCCTTGTATGCTCTGTAGTTTTAGCCTTTTGAACTATTGTTGCCTTTTTCAAAACTTTCATGGCATA